ATTGGAGCATTACGTTATAAAAGGATTGAATTGCATAACACCTATAGACTGAATGACTTTTTTACCGACTTTGTGTCATTCGGAAGTTAATCATGATATACTGCTAGGTGTCACTCATGATTAGTAGAAGCTTGAAGAATAAAAATAATATTATTATATTAATTATTTTTCATAAAAGGAGAATTATAAGAGTTCTAATTCAAGCTAACTTAAAAAGAGTTCTAATTTGAGATGCTACTTGTAGTTAGTATCAAATGCATACAACTGAGTATATTTGAACTTATAGGTTCACACACAATAAAATTGATTAGAAACTAAAGAATAAAGGAAAGAAAACTAATTAAGAGTTAATCGGGTTTTTAACCTAATTAAGAGTTAATTAGAGATTTTATTACAATTAATTATTAATAAAAGACCTATATGTAATTATGAGATAATTGCAATTAGACCAAAACTAGGAGTAGAATCTTCTAAGGATCTATAAATTCCTTCATATAGGAGATAAATATAAGATATAACAACTCTCTTACTAGTAAAACAAAATTTACTCATTATTCTTTCTATTAGTTTATCAAAAGTTGAGATAGATCTTTCAAATTTATCAATTTGTGTGGATACTAATAGAGGACAAAAAAATACGAGGCTTGGGGTAAAAATTAAATTCAGATTTGAAGATTCTAATTTGTTGAAAAAGTTTAAAGATCACATTTTAAGTGGCAACCCTTAATTTTTTCTATAGATCTAAGGTTTCTCGATTTGTATTAAACATGAATAGAACTTGGAATGAGAAATCAAAATTTATTATTTTTTAAATTCTGTATATTCCTTACAGCATGCCGCCACCACAAGTTTCACTCCAATAGGAAGCTCTAAAGGGTCTATCCATTTTGATTTATCGAAGGTAAGAATTCATCATAAATTCTAGATTTGGAACTTTAATGGTTTGATTTATCGAATATTTGTAAAAAAAAACTTAGGATTTGTTTGATTCGAGTCTCAAAAAATAATATTCGAAATCTATTTTTTGGAAGAGTTTTAAAAAAATGCATTTTTTGTGCGGAAAAAACTTATTTGGTTATATAATTTTAAAAATAGTTTTACGGAATATAAAACAATAAAATTTGTTCTATAGGCCTATTTGGTTTACGTTTCAAAAAATAGTATTCAAAAATATTTTAAGAAAGTGTGTTTTGATATTTTTATATTACAAAACCTGTTTGGTTATACGTTTTTGTAAGAGATAAAAATTTATGATACCTCTTACTAAAGATTGAATTTGATATTTTTGGTAAAAAAATATTTTTAAACTTGATCTCCCAATCTTCCTGTTCTGCAAAACGATCAAACTGTCCAAGATCGAAGTGCTTCGATCGAAGACACTATAATGCTTAAGTCAGTAATGAAATAGAAATAATTGCTAAAAGACAATGAAAGTTCAGCGTACCTTTCACCTTGACTCATTTTAGTTTTTATAGACCCTGTTTAGTTAGGGTTTCAATGATTTTCGATATAAGGTGACACACTTTCTCCAATTAAGCGATTCAGTTTGGAAAGCTGCTGAAATCTCTCTGACAGTTCCCTTGGCCTATAATTAAGCTTATTAGCTTATCTAGAATGCGTAAGTTTTTGGCGAATTTTTATCTTTCTATTTATTGTTTTAAAACAGCTCGGTTATGACGAGGACTGAGCTCTTTTGTTACGCACTGAGCACCTTGACTAGGGTCGAGCTCTTTCAATGCTTGCCGAACAAATTGATCTAGGCATGTTTGTTTGATACTGTCCTTACGTGCTTTGTTTTATCATCCTCACGTGAGTTCATTTAATATCATAATAATGACAATCACCCCCTTCAAATTTTTAAAAAATAAAAAATAAAAAATTATAAAACCTGTTTAAACAATAATCCACGATCCCTTCCCCCCCACCCCAATTTTCATCTCCTATCTCTCAAAAAATTAGGTCAAATATTTAGGTCCGGATTAGTCTTTTGGAAAACAAAAACAGTTTGCGACAAACAAAGCAAACATGGGCTTAATCACTTTTCGTCTTTACTCTGTGTAGATTGAAATTTTTGACTCTTCGTTTGTGTAATCAGTGATTTTTTCCAAGTTTTTTTTACGGATTTTCGGAGTTCCCCTTCTTCCATTTATGGATCAAACCTATATGGAGTGTTTAACTTCCGTGTGTTTCTCTCTCTCTCTCTCTCTCTCACACACACACACTATGGCACTCATCGCTTCTACTATTTAACCAGAGTTCTGTCGTATAGTTGTACTTAACATTCAGCCTATCTATAATTACGTTGCCTTTTTATGGCTCTTGTGATGAAAGGGAATGTAGCATATTAGTTTGATAATCAAATCCTCATATATATAAATCCACTAGCCAAAATTTACTCATCTTTTGCACAAAATTTTAGCAAGATGATCAGGAAAGAATAATTGACAGGGAGTTAAACTTCTTTGATATGGAAATCTTGGAACTTATGTGATCAGAATTTGAATATCAATGAATTGCTTGTTTTTTTGGTCTGATTTTTTTTTTTTCGGGTTGGTCTGATTTATTCATCCTCCATGAAGTGTTTTAAATCCTCAGTTGACAAGTAATGCCATTGCTATGTAAGTCTAGCAATTTAATAGTTTGCATTTTTACACATTCTATAACGAATCTGACCAGTTTCTTTTCTGCAGAGAAACATATGAATGCAGTTTCTTTTTTATAGATATCACATTTTGACTTAGATAGGTTGCAGCGCTGCGAGCTGATCATTTGAGCATCACCTGATCCTACTGTGAGATTGCTAGATTATCAAGGGGAATCTCCAAGCAGGCATGTGTATGATGCTTCTGCTTATGGTTTTATCCTAATAGTGTGAACCTCTGTCCACATGGTTATTAATTTTGGAAGAGAAAGACAAAGGTAATTTGACGTCTTTCTACACCCTTAAGCCAGTTAACTGTGCCTGAATGTTCTATGATGTCCCAACAGTCTTTTATGTATGTTAAAAATGCTCAGTTCTTTAACATGCAAAATCCCAATGCCAAATTTCTTCTGTATTGCTGTGTTGATGGAGAGAGATTCCTTTGCGCTGCGACTATTCTTTTCTAATTTGGAGGAGGAGCATTTGATGATACTAATCCTGTAACATACTTTAAGGTGTCTGGTTAGAATGGCAAGGGGTTTCTCCTTGTTGTTCAACATCAGTTAAATTGTATCCAAATAAAATTTTGTCGAGTGCTCATTTACTTGAGCTATATTCCACAAGTTCAAGTCCGGAGTTAGCTTGTAAAAAATGGAGGTAAAATTGACTACTACTTATCTTTTCTAGATCCCACTATAGATAGAAAATTTTTGCACTTGGTACAAGATTCATATGATTGATTTGTCTATTGCAAGGTGAAAAAACATGGATGAGAACTTTTCCTCATACCTCTGTTGGTTCAAATCGAAAATGAGTCATATGACATGTTTGAGATCATGAATTTCATATTACTAGTTTCCTTGTGATGTCTTCTGAGGATCATATTGTTTTTGTACTCAGTTTTTGTCAATTGCCTAATCACCACTGTGTCATCTGTACGTGAACATGTATTCATTGTGAGGTGAGGATTTCATGTAAGCCAAGTGTTAGGTTTATTGTAGATGGATAAAACCAGTCAAACTCACCTGAAACACAAAGGGTTCATCTTTCCTCACTCCGGTAGCATTCCATCTCATCCTCGGACATGCCATGCCTAATGAATCATTTGTTGCAGTTGATGTATCCTTCACACATACCATTAAAGGTAAGGACTCTTCAGAAACCCCGGCTGCCTTAAGGCAAGTCAATTGAGATTTGGCATAAGAGTACCAGTTATTTTGATGTGTAGTATTTGATATGTGAGCTTGTTCTCATTAGATTTGACTCTTGTTTTTAATGTTTATCTTGTGGTTTTGGATGACCACTTTGTTGTTTCAATGATTTGATGTTATTTACTCATTCATTTACACTTGAATATAGTGAAGATTTGACAAAATTGGATATACATGATTGATCCTGACTGTTCTTCCCACCCACATTGTTTAGTGTCATCATAAGCATTCTTCAACTTTTGCTGGCAGAGTGAGAGTACAAGGTGAAGGAACAGCTAACTCAGCATTGGGAAGATGATTGGGCTGATGATAATGTCAGTGATGACTTCTTTCAGTAGACGAGGAGGGGACTGGAGAACAACACTGACAATAACTGAGCTAAGTCTAGCTGCTAATCATTAATGCTCTGATATGCCTCGTATCATCAATCACATAGTATGTATAAAGCACCAATCCAAGTGAATTTTCACAAGAAAATGCCAACAATAGAGTGATAAAATTTCTCACATTGTTTGATGAACTAAGAACCAGTTAATCCATAGTTTACTGACACTTCGCCTGTTTCATCCATCTACAATATCACTAGTACTATGCTATGAAACTTTTTCCTTTTTAATTTCAGCTAGTTCTGCTTCTAAGATGACTGAATCATCCACCATCAAGCAGTTTTGGCAAGAAAAAATGGACATTAGTGCCCAAGAAGTTAATTTGTCATCGTATGATAATGACCTTTACCTTTCAAAAAGTATCTATTGGATAGTCTTAACAAAGTTCTAATGCAGTGCATCATTACTGTTCAGATTTTTGTGGAACTGAAGATGTGTGGTCCTTTTGTTGTTTTGCTAGGTGCATTCAATTTAATTAAATTAGGGAAACTGAAATCATTTGGCAATATGGTGGAATTCTTTATCAATTTTGTATTTTTCCTTGTATTTGGTGAAAACCTTGAGTAGAGTCGTGTCATACTCTCAAAAAATCTATTCTTTCAAGGTTTTCTTAACAAAAAGGGTGGTTGTACCCTTTTGCAGTCCTTACCAAAGCTATAGAAGAGGCCTACAACTCTCGCTAATTGGTTTTTTTTTACCTCAAACAAGTTGTCAATAATTCACCAAAACTAAAACTTTCATATGCACTACTAGTAACTGGGCAGCGAATTCAATTGACACAAGATGTCAGTATAATCAAAAACATCACCATAAAAACAAAAACATGAAATTTAGTTGAACATAGACATGAAAAATGCCAGACGTTATGGTTCCAGAAATTATACAACACACTTCAAATCACCAAGGGGATGACATCCTTCATTAATGACGACTCAACAAGGCATCAAATGAATGGACAAATAAATGTTCATGTTTATGACACAAATCAAGCTCCAGAAAGACAGCATTTCAAAAATAAATTCTAGAATTGAGACTTGTCCAAGCTGTCAAAATATGAATGATCTAAAGCTGCTTTGGCTGAAATCCTATCAGCAGGATCATATTTAAGCATCTTCTGCATTAGATAAACACAACAGCACGGTATTAATCTCACAAATTGTAGCAAACTTAGATAACATAACCAAACAAATCCTGTTTGCAGCCTAAGCTAAGTATGTGCTTGGCTTTCAAAATCCTAGCCTAAATGTCCAGCTCAACCACACCACTTTAGCCGAAACCAGTCTGGCACTGGACCAGATACAGCAATGCAATTTATTATCGGACTTATGTTTCAAATAATAATAAAAAATTTGAAAAGAAAAACGAATCTATTTTGAAATAAAAATAGACTAACAAGAGCAGACCCATGCTTAGAAATAAAAAGAGACTAGCAGTACTATCATATTTTCATTTCCGCCAATTTCCTACTCTGTAAATTTTTCATTGTTTTTTAAAAACCATAGCAATGAGATCTCAAATTAGGGCCATCTAAGATGTACAAAGATTTTCTGATGTCCACTTCAGAATTTGGATGTGAAAAATTGTGCACGTAAAATTGTCAGATTATATGGAGTCACCAAAGTTTAACGGTAGAAAATACACTTCTTGTCAAAGTAGTTACCGATAGAAGGTCAACACCATCAGGGCACAGAGATGGAACAGCACGAGCCAAGTTTTGAGGTTCCCATTGTGGATACACATGCCAATCCCGCAATGAATCAACTCCTGGCCATTGCTTCTCAGTCGGCGTTCCCAACAGCCTTCCGTGATGCATATACCAAAATTCAAGTAACATACGAATGATGGGATTTAGACGAAGAATAAAAGCAGTAAGTAAAAAACGCATGCACCAAGTCTAAGCTACAGCATTAGCAACTAAATTAGATCTAGAAAATAAAAAAAAATGGCCTCCAGACCAAAAACAGAACATATTTTCCCAGATAAAACAAAACTGATAAGAGGTTCTGGCCACTCTCACCAGTTGCAAGTGTAAGTTTATAGAAGTAGTCCTAAGGGGGAACCTGCAGTATTTATTTTTCTAGAAGCTGAAAAAAATCAAATATCTAAACAATTATTACCAAACCAGTAACTTATCAAATATATACCTGAAGATATGAAGCAGTTGTTGAAATTCAGAGTCCCCAGGAAATAACGCTTGCCTTCTAACCATTTCAGCTGCAAAGAATAAACCCACAAAATACTAAACAAACCCACTTCAAATTACGGGTGAAATGAAATGAAAAACATTACAAACAAGTTTCCAAAAGGGAAGAAATGCGTAAGCATAAAAGCAACGCCATGGGAAATTTCCACCATGTAACAATCCATAGATCATAGTGGAACAAATATTTTCCCGAGGAAACAGATTAGAATCAGAAAGGGTGGCTAACAGGAAACACACTGCTGAAGCAAGGTGACTGGCTAAAGACACTGAGCACGGGCAATATCTTTGATAGTTAAGTCTTACATGGAAAATGTATTTTGACTTTGTATATTTAAAGCTTTCCTTAATGTATATACTACGTTAATGCAGAATTATGATTGTCAAAGAGTCACAATAGCTATTTAAACTTATGTTTTCGTAGTCCCAGGCCTAATGCAAACATAAACATCTCCACAAAAAAACCAATACTTCCACTAAACCACGGTAAAAAGTAGCTGAAATGTTGGAAACCGTAATTGTGATCCATAAACTAGTAGTAGATGTGGAAGTTGAAGGGTCTTACCGAAAATACAACCAACGGACCACATATCAACTGCAGTGGAATAATGGGTTGATCCCAACAAAACTTCTGGAGCTCTGTACCAGAGAGTAACAATCTATGGACAAAAAGAAATCAAAAGGTCATGTGTGCAGTAATTTTTGTTCCAATAAAAGACAACATGGAAATCGGAAAGAGAATACGTTTCCTCTCTAGTTGGGCTTGATGATAAATTAGGAAGTACAAAAATTAAACCAAAAACCTCATGGGTGTAGCTCTTGAGAGGAACAGTAAAAGCCCTTCCCAGACCAAGATCAGCAATCTTCAGTATGCCCTTCTCTTTGTCTACAAGGAGATTCTGTGGCTTCAGATCTCTGTACTTGGGAAAACCAGCCAAGGTCATTAGATTTAAGGATTTACTCCAAAAAAGAAAAAGAAGATCGAGAAATGAAAGACAATGAAACCTGTGAAGGACACCGTGGCTGTGGCAATGGGCAACCCCTTTGCACAATTGATACAAATAGCTCTGTTAGATCAAATAATTTAGAAGAAACTAATTAAACAAGAAACCCTGAGTAATTAACATCAGAATCAACCAAAGCAGTTGGTTAGTGTTTGTCTAAAGACTGATAAATAGGTTTGAAGAAGTAAGAAGAACATATGAACGAGAAAGAAATCAGGAATGGCAGGAGAGAGAGATGAAATTAGATCTAGATACCGAAAAAAAAAACAAATGCATACCTGGATGAGGGAAGGAGGGAGAGGCCTGGGATTGGGGCCCTTGCGGTGGGAATCGATGAACTTCTTGAGGTCGGTGTCGAGATACTCAAAGACGAGATAAAGAAGTGGTTTTCCGTTCTTGTCGACGTGCTCGACGCAGAGCAATTGAACGACGTAAATGGAGGAGGATAGCATCTGGAGGAGAGAGACCTCACGGAGGGCGGTGGGTGGGACTCCTTCCTCGTCCATCTCCAGACGAGTCTTCTTGAGGGCCACCAGCAGTCCGGTGGCCTTATCCTTGGCCTTGTACACCTTTCCGTATGTACCCTCCCCTACCTTCTCCAGTTTCTGGTACTTTTCCATTTCTTCTTCTTCTTCTTCTTTCTAACAATCTGTCTCCCTGAATCTGATCAACCACAACGGGCCCTAACTAAACGCTATGTCTTGAATGGGATGGGGGTTTTCGAGAGAGAGAAGGGGGGGGGGGGGGGGGAGAGTGTGTGTATTCCGTTCCGTTGCCTTTTTGTTCGAAATAGAGGGACGGAATTGGATATACATCTCATTCTCATTTGTGGCAAGGGAATGCAAGCAACGGCATCAATGGCACGTGCTTCCCTCCCTCCCTCTCTCTTTCAAATTTTGAATCCCTCTTCGCACGTGCTTCGTTCGGCGTCCTTTTCAAATCTGAGATGCTGCCCGTTGTGAAAAACAACGCTCTCTTTTTCCAAACAAATTCTTTTTGGTCTTTATTTTAATTTTAAAAGAAGAACAATTTCGAATTTGTTCCGTATTTTTCAAACTACTGTCCCGACCTCATCATTTTTTTTATGCGTAAATTTCGCTTACATCCATTGAATTAGAGTTGTATTTTATTGACACCTCGAGCTTCTAAAATATTATTGTATATCTCTATAATGTATATTCACGTTTTACAAATTATCTCTGCCATCTAATATCATTATTGACAAAAATAAGGTGTGATGTAATAGTTTATTCTCTGATGTAAAATCTCAAAATAATACGAAATACTCAAAATAATCTTATACCAAAAATTAATTAAAACAACAAAGAATTATTGAAGAAAATAAAAAATAGATGAAGCTGAAACCAAATGTGAAAGGCTTCACGTCAATAACCAAAATCTTACTGTTAGAAAAAAGATTCTGCCATTCAATCGTACAAATAAAAGTAAAGACTTTTAAATATAAAAGAGATCTAAACTTATAAAAAAACTAATAACATCAATCTTATTATAGTTTTAATTAAATTACTTAAAACTAACTAAAATATTTTATGGGTCAAAACTCTTAAACCCATTAAAAATCTAATTGTAAACTAATATAAAATAAATAAGAGTTTTTTCCCAAACCCAGCCTTCTCAAAAATTTATTTTCAAACTCAGCCAATTTTAAATTTGTTTTTTAAATCCAATCTCCTTTTAAAAATATCATTCAAAATGTTGCCTTCATATGTTAAAACGTCATTTAGAATGACGTATTTAAAAATGTCAGTAAGAATGACGTTAAAAAAATGAATTAAAAATGACAACATAGCAAAGGCAAAAAAAATTGATGGGTAGAAAACATCATTTTATTTGAAATGACATTTTCTAAAAAGTCCAAACCACCCAGAATCAAAACAGTGATGGGAAACCTACGAAAGGTAACTCTCATGCCATACATGGAGTTTTGGACCTCTGGAAAGGGGCGGGTAGTGTGAGTGTCATACGTATTTAAAGTACCTTTGGGATTTCCATCCCCTTAGATGGTAACTTTGTCTCTTGGTGGAGCAGTGGCTCCCAGCTGCATCAATGTTGGGAGTAAATAGCCAGCAAAGCAGTTGGTGGACACGTATGTGTAAGGAATTCCTTCTGCCTCAATAGTACGCAGAAATTGGGCAGTTTTTATTGGCTCAGCAGCATGAACACGATCCACGTCGTTCCCAAACTCTGACGGGAAAAATCTCTGAACAGTTCAAGAAAATTATAAGAGAAAAAAAAAGTCTTCTAGTGTGATGGATTGGAAATGAACACAAAGAAATCTGAACTGTGGCGGATAAAGATATCTGATTAATATTGTTCATGCTTAGGAGAAAAGAAGAGATGGATGTAACCAGTAAATAACACATTGTACCACGTAGTCATCATAGGATTTACTTATCCGTTGACTAAATCCAAGTCTGCAATAGATTGTATGTCTAATATGAAAACGTCCCAACATCAACCATTGAAGAGGCTTAGTCCAGACCGGATAGAAAAAATTGTTTGAAATTTGAAATTCTTGAAAGTACACTATTCAATCTCCCCCAAAACTCTCCTCCTAATCCCTCCAGAGATCCCACTAAAGCCTAAATTAGTGAATATAAATCATGTTAGACATAATTTTGGATAACAAATAGTAATTATAATTTTTTTTGTAAAGCTGCGTAGATCTGACTTTTCCCCTCTTAGTAGGTGAAGGCTCATGGAGGTGCCGCGCTTATCTAGGAGTAACTATTATTATAGGGAACCAGACAAGTATATGAAAAATCCATAAACTTAGGCAGGCTGTTCGGGCAGAGGACAAATGGAATGAAAGGAACATAAAAAGAAAGAACAAAAAAAGTGATAAGGACAACATATGAACACACAAACCTTAACATTTCCAACTTCTTTAATGGCAGCGATGATCTTAACCTGATCACCTATCTGCAGGTGTCCCACTGTCGTTATCACCACATCTACCTGCTTTATTGCCTTCACTAATCCCTCATGATCATTTCTCTCTCCCTGACCCTCATGATCATTTATACATACATAGATCAGAGTGACACCGAGGTTCTTGAAGCTCTCGACGAGTTTTTTCGCAGGTTTCCCATCAGTGTTTTGGTTTTGGGTGATCTGGACTTCGCAGAAAACGTCATTTACAATGACGTTTTTATCAAGAAACACAATTGTGGAATAATTTTTTGATAATTCAATTTATCATAGTTGTACAATATATATAGTACAAACATTAACAAGAAAAGAATAAAATATTACAGAGAAATATCCTACAACTACCGAATAAAATAAGATTACATAATTAAGGATATTGACTAAATCATATCCTTAATTTTAGCACTCCCCCTCAAGTTGGAGCATGTATATCGCACATGCCTAACTTGTCTAAAGAGTGACCTAAAATACTGTTGGTGACAGCTTTGGTAAGGACATCGACTAGTTGGTCTTCAGACTTCACAAACGGAAAAATAATGATTTCAACTTCAAGTTTTTCCTTAATGAAGTGTCTATCGATTTCTACATACTTCGTCCAATCATGTTGGACTGGATTATGAGCAATCTCTATAGCATAAGTGTTATCACAATACAACTTCATTGCCTCCTGAGAGTGAACACCCAAATCCTTAAGCAAGTTCCTCAACCATAGTAACTCATATACTCCAAAAGTCATGCCTCTATATTCAGCTTCTGCACTAGACCTTGCTACCACCGGTTGTTTTTTACTCCTCCACGTCACAAGGTTGCCCCCTACAAAAGTAAAGTATCCTGATGTAGATTTTCTATCGTCAGATGAACCAGCCTAATCTACATCAGTGTAACCTTCTACCTTCAAGTGATTATTCTTGCTGAACAATAACCCTTTCCCCAGAGCAGACTTTAAATATCCCAATATGCGTTCCATAGCATCCATGTGAGATTTACGAGGATCATGCATAAACTTGCTCTTTACACATACTGAATAAGCAATATCTGGCCTAGTTTGGGACAAATAAATTAATTTCCCCACAAGTCTCTGGTACCTTGCTTTATCAGTAGAAGTTGCATGCAAACAATTAAACAACTTGTGATTTTGTTCAATAGGGGTATTCGCAGGCTTACATCCAAGCATACTTGTTTCAGTTAGCAAATCAAGAATGTATTTTTGTTGAAATAAGAAAATACCATTCTTTGAGCGGGCTACCTTGATTCCGAGAAAGTATTTTAAATCTCCAAGTTGTTTCATTTCAAACTCTAAGGCCAAGTATCATTGTAAGCTCTCAATTTCTTCTTGATCATCTCCTATCATCACCATATCATCAATGTATATAATTAAAGCAGTAACCTTACCCATTTGATGCTTTAAAAACAAAGTATGGTCTGGGTTGCTCCAAAGCTCTTCATAGACTCGGTAAATCTATTGAACCAAGCTCTTAGAGACTATTTAAACCATACAACGCCTTTTTGAGTTTGCACACCGTTGTAACATCTAAGTATTTTTCCACACTTGGAGGGGGATCCATATACACTTCCTCTATAAGATCTCCATGTAAAAAAGTATTTTTTAAACTGAAGAAGTGGCCAATCTCGATTCACCGCCAAAGACAGGAGCACTCTAACTGTATTAAGTTTAGCAACAGGTGCAAAAGTGTCCTGGTAGTCAACTCCATAAGATTGCGTATATCCTTTCGCAACCAATCGAGCTTTATACCTCTCAATCGTCCCATCCGCTTTATCCTTGATCACAAAGACTCATCTACATACCACAACTCGCAAGTATTATTTTTCTCAAGCGCTACCATTTCTTCTGCCATGGCTTGGGTCCATCTATCATCTGCTAGAGCTTCCTGAATTTTACTAGGAATAGAAACAGATGATAACTGTAGCACATAAGATGCATATGAATTGGACAGTTTTTGACAAGACACATGATTACTAATGGGATATCTAACTTTGGATTTAGGATCAGACTCATATTTAATAGGTGGTACACCACGATTAGAACGAGGTGGAAGACAATATTGAGACACTTGAGATTCAGAAAAAAGATCATCGCTACAAGTGGAATTAGGATTCGTGGATACCTCTGGAGGAATCTCAGAAGAAGACTGGCTCAGTGGTTCTGTTGAATTGTCGGGAGGCATTGTACGATCATGAAGAGCATTATCTTCAGTATGAGAAGTCTTCGGTTCAACAACCAATAACTCTTCCCTTCCATCGAAAAATTCACCCTGTCCTGAAGAATCTTCAGATGAATAAATATTTTTTGAATTTTTGATTAAAAAATGCCTCTAGTTCTTCATAATTTATCACTTCTTCTAAATTCTCCCCCTGAAATGGTAAATTAGGAGTTAGCACCCTGTAAAAAAGTTCGGTCTCATGAAAGGTAATATCCATGGAAACATAAAGCTTTCGAGTTTTGGATCATAAACACTTGTAGACTTTTTTATTGTTCCCATATCGTAGAAATATACACTTCAAAGCACGAGACTCAAGCTTAGTCCGTTGGCGCGGATGCAAATGAACAAAAACTACACACCCAAAAATTCGTGGAGCCAAAAATACTACCGATGGAAGAGTGCAATGATCATAAAGGGCATCCAATGGTCTTCAAAAATTAAGAACAGTGGATGGCGTATGATTTATTAAATAGACCACCGAATTCAAAGTTTCACCTCACAAGTAAATAGGAACCTGACCCCCAATTAAAAGAGACCGAGTAACTTCCAATAAATGTCAGTTTTTTTGCTTTGCAACACCATTTTGTTGAGGAGAATCTTTGCAAGATGTTTGGTGAATAATCCCTTTAGAGTGCATAAATTCCATAAATTCTTTCTTTTCGTACTCACCACCATTATCAGAACGAAAGACTTTTATTGGAACACCAAACTAAGTAGTTATTATTTGATGGTACATGCGAAAAATTGAACAAACATCACTCTTGTGTTTCATTTAATAAACCCAAGTCATGCGAGTGTCATCATCAACAAAAGTTATAAACCATTTCATCCCATTAAGAGTAGAAGTTGAGGCCGGTCCCCAAACATCTGAATGAACTAATGAATAAGATAAATCTATTGTATGATCACTCAAATGAAAAATAGTATGATGGCATTTTGCTTTCACACAAGTTTCGCAAACAAAGTCTGAAAGATTACATCCATGAAACAAGGATGGAAATAATCTCCTAAGATAGCCAAAGGAAGGATGTCCCAATCTCCTACGCCATAGCTAAATTTCCTCATTTTTCTTATTCACCAAATCTCCATTTACCACAAGAGCTTGCCCTTTTTTATCGGAATATTGGAATCCATCTTCAAGATAGTATAACCCTTTCATTTGTCTACCAGTGTCAATCTTCTCCTGAGTATGGATATTCTGAAAGACACAGTAAGTAAGAAAAAATAGAGCAACACAATTATGAGATTTGACTAATTGATTCACAAACAGAATATTACAATTTAACGATGATACAAATAAGACTTCCTCGATTCCTAACATGGAAGATAACAAAACTATAACAACTCCAATAACTGGAGATGATACACTATTAGCCGTGGTAATAGTGGCTTTGGAACATTTAGGAGATAAATGACTAAACCTATAATGATCACAAGTCATATGGTCTGTTGCACTAGAGTCAATTATCCAATTACTATTTCTAGTAAAAGACATACCCGACTTAGCAGTGAATGCAAGGGTTATGTCTAGATTTTCTTTTGGATTAGAGTCCGCCTTCTTATGAGATGCCTTCTTACGCTTTGGATGCCATTCTGGAAATCCATGAAGTTAGAAGCACGTGTCCACCATATGACCAGTACCATTACAGTGAGTACATTTTTGATTCTTCTTTGAGATGGTCATCTTCCGAGAAGCTATTACAACCCATTCTCCAATATTTCCTCCAAGCATACCATCTTGGCGATTAGCTTCCGAACAAACCATAGCATAAGTCGTCTGTATATTAGGAAGTGTTTTTGTAGAAAATACACGATCTCGAACCCGATCTAAATGAGGATCAAGACCAGCTAAATACTTATACACATGTTTAGAATTAACCTTCGTGGTGTATATAACAATATCATTGGCACACTCCATAATGCAGGCATCAATATCATCAAGCTCCTGCCATATTTTCTGTAATTTGCCAAAATAAGAAATAATAGAACCTCCATTCTAGAAGACATAAAATACCTCGCAATGAAGTTGATAAGCTTTTGATGAATCCTGATCAACTGAATACGTGTTTTTAACTGTCTCCCATATCTCCTTCACGGCAGACAATCAAAGAAAGAGAGACCGAATATCCTTTGTCATTGCATCAAGAAGCCAAGATTTGATCAAGCAGTTTTCATCCTCCCATTCTTCATATTCTTCCGACTTTTTATTTGATGGAGCAGCCTTGGTACCTGAAAATATAACCCCAACGTTTTCTCCCAAGGATTTTATTCTAGGCATTCAAAGACCACTCCACATAATTGGTACCGTCAAGCCGTTCTAGAGTGATGAGAGAGGAAGTTTCCTACAAATGAAGGCCAGACACAATAGTCGAAGATTCGTTCTTCTTTGGTGATGTAGCACCACTTAATTCAATCATGATGACACTAAAAGAAAATTTTGCAGTGGAATGTTATGAACAGAAACACTAACAATTGGTGAATATAGGACCTACTTCAATTCCTAGAGTTAAGAAAAGGAGATTGAAGGAGGCTCTGATACCATATCAAGAAATACAATTGTGGAATAATTTTTTGATAATTTCATTCATCGTAGTTGTACAATACATATAGTACAAACATTAACAAGGAAAGAATAAAATATTACAGAGAAATATCCTATAACTACCGAATAAAATAAGATTACATAATTAAGGATATTGACCAAATCAAATATTAACCAAATCATATCCTTAATTTTAGTAGTTTTTTACCCACAATTTTTTTTTAACGTTTGTTATGTTACTGTTTTTAATTCACTTTTTTTTAATGTCATTCTCACTGACTCCTTTAAAGATGTCATTCCAAATGACGATTTAAATAAA